TCTTTAAGATAAGAATAGATTTCCTCTGTTGTTCACGTCCAATTAAAATATATAGGGTAATCGCTCGAAATATTTCATCGATTAATTTCAAGTACAAGTTTTTCATCAGTAATAAGATACCTCCTGTCATCGCCGATTGCCATTCAAAGCCCAAATTTTACTCCTTAATACACCATTGCGTTTATTGAAGAATCATCCTCCTTTAGCTCTAATTTAGCAATTTTGTAGCAAATTTCCTCATGCTAGAAGTAGCAAATGAAAGAAACATTAAAGATTCTTCAAAATTGAAATGAATGTTTTGATTATCTAATCTTGGCGCTAGTAAAATCTGTATTCGATTAATAAATCCTTTTGTAAAGTAGGTCTTTATATAGGGTGTGTTTGGTATGAAGGAAAATGTTTTTCAATTTTCTCATGTTTATTTGGGTAAAATATTTTCTAAATCAACTCATTTTCCTCAAATTTAAGGAAAATGACTTCCCTTAAAAAATTAGGGAAAACATTTTCCAAAAACTTTCCTCCAACTTCAAATTACAATTTTTTTTGGATGAGATGTTTTACGTTAAAAATTTGGATCAACCCGAAAATAAAATACTCTAATCTACTCTGCGAATCTAGCAATAATCAACATAAATTACTTATAATATATGTCACATTGATTAAGTATGTCATTCAAATATTACTACAGTTAATTTCTGAAAATTAATCAGTATCCTCATGTCAACAAATCATTTATATCTATCAACAAGTGTTGTGATGGATTGGTAAGTACTCAATCATCTTTAACTAGAGGTCTCGTGTTTGAGTCCCCTGGATATGGAGTCACCTTTGTTAGGGAGCATTTTAGCTCCAATATGGGACTTCCCAATGTGAATCCAAATTTAATCGGGTTTTAATATGGGTACTGAACACCAAATGAAAATAAAAAAAAATAAAAATCATCCATGCCGCCTTGCCAGTCTAAGAGTTAGAAGAAGTAAAGCATCTTGTTGCATAGTTAATTAGTAATTAATAGTTGATTAAGACCTAATTAAGTTTGATTTAATAAACAAACTTAGGTCGTAGTTAATTCATACTATCCTTATCTTTTCCTAAAAAGCCCCTTTTAGAAGCAAAACTTTGCAATTAGAGAATTAGACAGAATGTTATAATTGCTTTAAGACATGATTTGATTAACTAGGCCGAATAACATAATGTCTTGAATCCTATTGCCTTCTATTTCCGTCAAATCGCCTGGCCTCCCTCGATTATTGGGAATCAAAGATCAAAAGACTTTCCTTTAATTCATTTAAAATTTTGATCGTTTTAGAGCATGCTCAAAAGAAAAAAGAAAAGTATATTTATCTTTTATTTTTCTACGACTTAATATATCAATTTATTAATTTATCAAAATTATATTTACAATTTTAGAGTCCATCAAATTTACAATTTTTTAGGGTGTTGTTAAAGGGGAGAATGTTTCCCACTAATCCATCAAACAGTTTGATTAGAGCTGTCAAAAAGGGCCAAAGAATTTGAAGGGCTAGGACGGGCCAACCCTTCATTTGGAAGGGCCTAAAAAATTCTCAACCCAGCCCAACCCTAGAAGGGCCGAGGGCTGGGGTGGGCTAGCCCTTTTTTTTTCATTTTTTTCTTTTCAAACTTATAATTCTATAACATCAAGAAAATGAGAAGATTTTCAAATCAAATATGGCAAACAATAGTGTTGTTTCAATAACACTAGCAAAAAAATCTAGTGTAATTAGCATGTATCTCGCATACCAGATACGCTAGCGAGATAATAGAGTGACAAGCAAGATGTGAGTGAAGTGAGGGCGCGAGATTTGTCTATGTATCCGAGATACATGCAAATCTACTTGGATAGAGTGTATCTAGAATAAATTAACCTAATTTTGAGTCTATATATTCCGAGATACATGTATCTGGACGTACCAAAATCTGGTAAGATTCATAATATTACAACATAGTGTGTATTTAAGTAATTAGATTATATACTAGTGAGATTATTGTAAGTTATCCTTAAATAAAAAGTTTTGGTCCATGGGCTGACCCCGGCCCTGCCCCAATCAAGTCTCAAGGGCCAAGGGCTTATAAGCTCTAATTTTAAATGGGCTTGAAAATTTCTAACCCAACCCTACCCCAATAACGGGTTGGGTTGGACCGGCCCCATAGGCTAAGCCCGTTTTGACAGCTCTAAGTTTGATAATGTAAATAATTAAGCAAATAAATATCCTTTAGAGATTATTTTTTTTAAAAAAAGAAGCAAATGGAGGCCAGAGATGTGGGCTTCTAAGCCGCCCTCAAGCCCAATCATTCATTAAATTGGCCCACTCGATGGACCGACCCAATTATACTTTAACAAACTCTGTATAGCAGGTAAAGTGCATGCATACCCAAGAGGCCGAGACGTCTCTAATTAACTTGTGTATGTTTTTTTTTTTACATGTGTATCTACTTTGGAATACCCGAGAGATGTCTCTAATTAATTTGTGTATGTCTTTAATCTTAATAAAGTCTAACTTGAAACATTGTATACAAGGTTTTATCTTTAGATAAAAATGAATGAACTTCAGTCATATGTAATTTCAGACATTGTGTATGACGTTTGATTTTTACAAATCTAACTCAACACATCACATATCTAAAGTGGTATGAGTACAAAATTCTAAAAACATGAATACAAATTAAATTGCTATGTCAACATCTACAAACTAAAAATGTTAAGGTCTAACCATCTCAAGATTAATTTCTGAAGCAAGATTATTTCTTTAACTAATAATCTTAATCACCACTATTTGAAGTTTTTGACATAATTAAATCATTTAATGACATTGTCCACTCCTTGCCATTTATATCTATCAAAAATCTAAAAGTTTCATGGATAGCAATATTGTGAGTACATAACATTATTGAGTTAGCTACTTCAACCAACTATTTTAACAAGTGGCAAAAGAATTTTGTAGTATATATAATTGCCCTGATTTTTATTCTTATAATATTGAGCAATAACATGGGATATCTTTATACTTGACTCGAATTGTTAACTGCACTCTTTTACCTATGACGTTACCAACTGATTACTTAAATCGAAACAAACCTAAATATAAGGATCTCTCGGACTATTTTACCTAGATCAAAGTTTAAAATATGGGGTGCAAGCTCAATGATTTTGTGCATGTAGTTGTGAGATATTAATTGTGTGGTTTCTTTTATGAGGAAAAAAATAAAATAAAAAAGAAGTGGTTTCTTTTGCTTCCTTTTGCTTTATAACGAAAATGTTGGCCCCTTTGTTGTCTCCATCGCGGTCACAAATATCATATCCGAAAAATATTTTATTTGCATTAAATATTTATATTATTTTATATCAAAGGATGTATATATATTCAAAGTTAATTATAAATGAATAAGTAATATGTACTTTTCCTTAAAATTATATTATTTAATTTGCTATAAAATCGCGGGGTATTATTAAAAAGAAATTCCACTACAAGAGAGTGCTGTTTAGGTTTAAGAATTGCTTACTTTACTGGGGAGGGCTTTTCAGAAACTCAAAGAACAAAACAATACTCCCTCCATCCCATTTTATATGATGTACTTTGATTTGGCACAAACTTTAAGAAAAATGGAAAAGACTTTTAAAACTTGTGGTCCAAAATGAATGATAGAAATTTGTGTGGTTGTAAATCATTTCATTAAGGGTAAAAAAGACATTTTATAGGCAAATTGTTACTTAAAATAGAAATGTGTCATTCTTTTTGGGACTGACTAAAAAGGAAAGTAAGTCATATAAATTCGGACAGAGGGAACAGTATTTTATTGAAATATTGTAAAATAAAAATCAATATAACTAGTTACTACTATTAAAGATTATGGTATAGTAATAAAAGTTTATGCATCTGTAATTAAAGATTTTAGATTTGAAATCTGAAATGAAATTGTCTTCGATATGACCCCTTAATAAAAAAAAAAAGGTGATTTTTATTACAAATTTAAATTAATCATGCCTTAAAATAAAATATGAATAAAAAACAAAAGGAGGTAACATTGATCCGACCATTATGAGCCCACCATAATAATAATAATAATAATAATAATAATAATAAAAAGATACAGTACTGCATGTTTTTCTTGTGAGAGTTTCTTAGTTTGTAAGGAAGCAGGTGGGTGTCCAATAAGATATGAACACCTAGACATAAGTTTTCTCATTAAGAAATAAAATAAAATATATTTAAATTATAACACGTGTCCCATAGAAAATAACGGTCCAGATTTATTTAGTTAACCTAATAATTTAAGGAAAAACTATCTAATTAAACATACTTCATTATAACATATACTTTTTTATCACTAATTAAAAGTTTTCTATCATAGATTGAATTAAATATACTTAGATATATGTATTTTTGCTACCACACATTAGATACATAAGAGAGGGGCGAACGAGATTTGTCATATTTGTCTGATACATATGAATTCACTTAGATACAATGTATCTAAAACAAATTACACTTAAATTTGACCTTATATATATACGAATCTGAAGGCACCAAAATCTGATAAAATATATAATATTACAAATTAAAATTTATCTAAGTAATTAGGTCATTCATTAACTAGCAAGATTTGTGTAACTTCTACTTATACCATATTCAAAATTATTATAACCATTGTTCTAAACACTATGAAATATTGTAACCACTTGTACTAAACACAGAAAGAAAAAAAATACTGTTACATAACCTAAACTGTCTCTCAATCGATAAAACAAAAAAAAGAACAACAATATATATATATATAAAATTATTAATCTAAAAGAAGCTGCACTCAAAAAAATTAAATTATTCTCATTTATTAGTCACGCAGCTTGGAAAAACAATATTAAGAAATTTATTGGTATCTTTCAATGAAGCCTAAAAAGAAAAAGTGAAAACGACAAGCATCTATTTCAACCATTAACAAAAAATATATACTTGTATGTATAGCCTATATATATACTCCCACGTTACCCCTAAAATCCCCAGAATTTCAAAAACAAAATCATTTCCTTAATCAAAACTCATTTGAATAAGCATGGAATCCTTAAATTTCCACAACATCAAATCAGAGAAAGCAAATGCCATGATAAGGTACAAAAAACGTCAAAGAGTAACAATGTTGTTTCGATTCATCGAATTCTGTATATTTTTCGTCGTAATCTCAAGATTTTCCACTCAAAAATTACCAGAGGGATTTGATGTCACCTTCATTAGTCCGCGATTCGTCTTTGTCCTTATAAACGCCATTGTTATCATCCTCTTCTTCAAATCAGGACAAGATGGTTCCATGGACAACGTTAAATTCGATTTGTATGATGAGTACATGCAAAAATATTCGATGAACAAAGAGGCGTATTATGAAGAGAGCAAAAAACAGAGCATTGTAGCAGAAAGACGATTAGAAAAGAGAATTCATCGAAGTCACTCGGAAAACTCTTTATGTTTGCCTCATGATGAGAGAAAAAGAATGATGAGGTCCGCTACAGTTGGATGCTTGAAAAATATAGACACTGACACTGTAAAACCAACAACCTCATATCCAGAGGATGGGATGAGCAATGTCGAATTCAGGAAAACTATTCAGGCCTTTATTGCAAGACAACAAAGATTATTGAAGGAAGAAGAGTTAGATATCTTGAAAAAATATCACTAGCACATTAGGTGAATAGTTAAGAAAACAAATGTAAGTTTATAGCTATTTCCATTAACTATTTAAAAAAAATAAAATTGTAGTATATTTAAAGTTAACTTGCATAAATCCAGGAGCTAATTACTTATATACACTTTAGTTAGTAATCTTACGTATCTTGCCAAGTTTTGGTACCTTCAGATACATGGGAATAAAATTAGGTGTAATTTGTTCTAAGATACATCGTATCCAAGCGAATTCATATGTATACAAATCTCGCTCGCCACTTTCTCATGTATCTGATAACTGAGCTAAATATATGTAGTATGTACTTAGTGTAGTTCGCATGTATTTGAGATATATACTAATCTCGTTCGCCTCCCTCCCCGATCTCGCTCGCTAGGGGTGTGCACTATTCGAATTAAACCGAATAACCAAACCAAATCAAACCGAAATTTTATTTGGATTGATTTTTTGGTTTTGGATTAATAAATTACTTTATTTGGTTTTTTGGTTTGGTTTCAGATTTAAAAAAATAAAAACCGAATTATCTCTCTCTATATATATGTGTGTGTTTAGGTTTAGAATTAAGTTGGAGTTAACCACTTTGTCCCTTTTTGGTTATTGCCTTTCACGATGATTACGTTTATATTTTATGCTTGAACATCTATATATATGTATACTTGTAAGTATTGTGTTTTAAGTTTTTCTTATGATTTATATTAGAAAGTATATTTAAGGGATTCAATATTATTACTTTGGTTATGTTAGTAATTATTGACATAACCGAATAACCAAATCGAAAAAAGCTTAATCGAATAGAGGAAAACCAAACCAAATTTATTTTGAATCGGATTGGGTTACACTTTTACAAAACCAAAAACCCAAAAATCCAAACCGAAAAACCGTATCGCTTGCCTCTCTTCCGATTTTTGTGTATCTGGTAGCAAAAATACATGTATCGAAGTGTATTTTGCTCAATATATGTAATATTTTAAAACTCTTAATTAGTGATAAAATATGTAATATTTTAAAAATATAGGTAATAATAATATTTGTTTTAGTGAAATATATCTAATTATATATTTTTCCCCATATTTAATTGCCATGATTTTTATTCTTTTAATATTGAGAAGATAATTACTAATCAAATCTAAAAAAATCAAAAGGTGAAAATATGGGGACAAGTTCAATGATTTTGGCCGTGTAATAGTGAGATGTTAAAAGTGGGAATTGTGTGGTTTTTTTAATGAGAAAAAAATAAATTTAAAAAGAAGTGGTTTCTATTGCTTCCTTTTGCTTTATAACGAAATGCTGCCCCTTTGACGGTCTCAAATATCATACCGGAAAGTTCTTTCATTTGAACTAAATGTTCACATTATTGTTTTAAAATTTCAATGCTTAATATTATATCTCTTCCGTTTCAATTTATGAAACACTATTTGATTAGATACAAAATTTAAGGGAAAAAAAAAAGACTTCTTAAAATTAGTAGTGTTGTTGATTTAAGAGTTGATAACTTTATTGGGAAAACCTTTGCCGAACTCAAAGAACAAAGCAGTCTTTATTGAATTATTACAATTATAATATAAACATAAAAATTAGTCTGACCGGTAAAGATTTAGGTATGATTGTAAATGTTATTATATCTCTAGTTAAAGATTTTAGATCTGAGCTTTTGAAATGAAATCGCTTCAATATGGATACTATATTTTAATTGAATTTTTTTATACAAATTTAAATTAGTCCAGTTTTGAAAAGACTAAAGTAAAATACTAAATATACAAAAAGTAAGATTGAGGGAGTTATTCGAATAGCAAATTTCACTCAATTTCAATTTTAAGATTATGAGTTTGAATCACCGGTGAGGAGACATAAAAGAAATAATTGATCTGACAATTCTTTATATATTTTTTGTGTAACTTTTATAACAAAAAATAATAGTAGGAGAACTGGCATGCGGCAAATAACAATTTCTTAGTTTGTAAGGAAGGAGGGTGGGGTTTCCAATAAAATATGTACACTTGCAAATATATTAACTAACACATATATTATGGGAAGTTTCCATGTCTCAAGTAAGCTTATTAAAAAAGGGAAAAAAATAATTATTACCCAGTACAGACCGTACAGTATGCTAATTAAGCATATATTTAACAATTATTACAAGTACAGTGTGCTAATCATACTTACCTATTTTGGCATGTTGCTTTACCCTGATAATACAAGGTATTATTTGGACAATTATTAGTTACTATAAAAAAAGTTAAATTAATATTTGATATTCATATATGACTTCCACGAATATATCTGATTAGAAGAAAACTTAATATTTCTCTAAATTCAATTTGTTTGTCTTACTTTACTTTGTTTTAAAAAAAAGTGTCTCTTCTAGTTTTTGGTAACTCTTTAATTCTAACTTTTCATATTATATGTTTAAAATCATAAAATTAAATGACATTTTAATGCACTTAGTTTTCGTTTAAAATATAGTATTTAAAGTTTTTTTTACTTTCTTAGACTTTTAGTAGACAAACAACTTAAAACAAATGAATTACTAATAACAATTTCAATACACAAATTGAAAAAATTATCATTATTGAAGGTTATAAATATATTTGGTAGACGTGAATATAGAACACATGTAGAAGTGTGCATACTTTATCTAACAAATAAAGGTCATAAACATATAAAATTATTAATCAGAAAAAGATGCACTAGAAAAAAGATAGTAATACTATTTTCATGAATATAGTCACGTAGCTCGGGAAAGATATTATTAATCTCTTTGAATGTAGCCTAAAAAAGCCTATAAAGAAAAAGATAAAAGTGAAAACGACAAGCATCTAGTTCAACAATTAACAAAAAATGAGAAAGAAGAAGACTTGTTAGCTATATATACTCCCACATAAAATCCCCAGAATCTCAACAACAAACATAAAAGATCCTTAATCCAAATTAATTTTTGGTTTCGAGTGAAAATAATATACATGGAATCCTTAAATTTCCACAACATCAAATTGGAGAAAGCAAATGCTATGTTAAGATACAAAAAGCGTCAAAGAGTGACAATGTTCATCGTTTTCTGCATATTTTTCACCATAATCTCAAGATTTTCTATTCAATTGCCACTCTCGACAGATTATGTCAAGGGATTTGGTGTCACCCTCATTAGTCCTCGATTTGTCTTTGTTCTTGTAAACATAATTGTCATCATCCTCTTCTTCAAATCAGGACATTCATCTGCCGCGGACAACGTTAAATTCGATTTGTATGATGAGTACAAGCAAAAATATTCGATGAACAACGAGGCTTGCTGTAAAAAACAGAGGAAACAGAGCATTTTGGTTGAAGAGGCTAATTGTGAACAGAGCATTACTAATTGTGAACAGAGCAAGAAACAGAGGAAACTGGCAGAAAGGCGATTAGAAAAGAGAATTCATCATAGTCATTCGGAAAACGTTTTATGTTTGTCTCATGATGAGAAAAAAACTAGAAAAGTAATTATCAGGTCAGCTACAGTTGGATGCTTGAAAAATATAGACACTGACAGTGTAAAACCAACAACCTCATATCCAGAGGCAAATTGTGAACAGAGGAGAATTTTGGTTGAAGAGACTAATTGTGAACAGAGCAGTGTAGCAGAAAGGCAATTAGAAAAGATAATTCATCGTAGTCATTCGGAGAACTCTTTATGTTTGCCTCATGATGAGAAAAAAAGAATGATGAGGTCAGCTACAGTTGGATGCTTGAAAAATATAGACACTGACAGTGTAAAACCAACAACCTCATATCCAGAGGCAAATTGTGAACAGAGGAGAATTTTGGTTGAAGAGACTAATTGTGAACAGAGCAGTGTAGCAGAAAGGCAATTAGAAAAGATAATTCATCGTAGTCATTCGGAGAACTCTTTATGTTTGCCTCATGATGAGAAAAAAAGAATGATGAGGTCAGCTACAGTTGGATGCTTGAAAAATATAGACACTGACACTGTAAAACCAACAACCTCGGATGGGCTGAGCAGTGTCGAATTCAGGAAAACTGTTGAGGCATTTATTGCAAGACAACAAAGATTATTGAAGGAAGAAGAGTTTTCAATTTCAACATAAGAGATAGAAGATAAATACAGATATCATGGAAGAAATAACAGAGTTTTAACTAGCACATTATGTGATCGGTTTTTTTTTTGAGAAAACAAATGTAAGTGCATTCACAATATCAATTTTGTCACTTTGGACGATCATATGTTCATGTGCGTGCTGATTGAATGGCACTGTTAATTAAAACATGAGAATCTTCAATTCAGACAGAAGTGTGTCGTAATGGAAATCGAACTTGATCACTTCCATGGAAAGAAAAAGAAAAGTTTCACCATACAATACTTAAAAAATTAGGTAACTTGTACCTTATTTAGTGTTATTTTGAAATAAATTTTCGATAAATGAAATTTGATTAATTAAATTGATCAATGAACATCAATTAAGTATTTAGTTTTCTTATATTGATTAAATTCATATTTTCAAGACTAATAACTCTCAAGATTAAAATAGAAAAAAATAATGTCTTTTTAAAATTAATTTGTGAAATGACAAGTATGTAGAAACATCTATTTTCTCATTAAGAACAGCGTATAAATAGAAATGTATGGAGATGGGGGAGTAATATGAGAAGAAACTTCTATTGTTTTATTTTTTAAAACTTATGGTAGAAGTGTTCACGTTTTTTTTTAAAATGATAGAAATGAAAATAATGAAGGTTACTAAAAAGTAGAAAGTAATTAATTTCGTTTTCTCTTTCTTCTTCTTAGTCTTTTTTATTTTTTTTAAAGTTCGACAGAAATTAGGTAAAGTCTAAGAAGACGGCTAGAGTAAAGGTAATACAACTATTGCTCTAAGTTTCAACACAATTTTTTACAAATAAATTCTTAGAAATGTTGATTTTCACTTTATTAAAAATATTATGATAAATAAAACTGTCACTAAATATACTTTTTTCAGTTAAAGCTACACTATTTCTTTTATTTTAATTTATGTAAAGATAAGTAATTATAGATGTAGATCAAGCAAATAAGGTTTTTTTATGATACTTTTGTTCAAGGAAATGAGTAATAGAACAAATTGTAAGAAGAACTATTGTATTGAATCGAACTCTTATACATGGTCATTTATTAATTTGAAATTCATAATTTATTTCTAAATATTTACAGTATATTATTAAATAAATGTATCTTTCAAATATTACTATTTAAAAAAAAAATTCTTATTACTATAAGATCTAAAGGACGCATAAAACGCGTACGCTAAGACTTATTTTATTAAAATGTCATTATCTAAGAGGTTGGTTTAATAAACGAACAAGGTCTTAGTTAATTGATTGTATCTATATCTCTTCCAATAAAGTTTGCACTTAGAGATGATTATAATGTTAAACTATTGTTAGGATAGAAAAAGAAATTAATCTTGCCTTTTTTCTTGTATTTTTAAAAGTGAAAATTTTATAAATGACATATATAAGACTAATATTCTCAAGTTATGACAGTATAATAATACTTTCAAGTTGTAACAATAAAAAATTTCAGGTCGTAACAATTTATTAAAAAATAGAGTTTTAAAATAATAGTAAAAAATAATTTTTAAAAATTATTAAAAGGAAAAAACGGATAAAGTTATATTAATTAATTTGAATACATTAAGGATAATTGATAGTTGCCATAAATTTAGGAAATTCAAAACAAAGTATGAATATTTGTTTTCCTTTTTTTACTCAATCAGTTAACAGTAATTCAAAAAGCAGATTCTTTTTTAGTAGTAATTATGGATATGTTAGTAGTAATTAATTTTAAATTCATTAATGATAATTAATATGTGCCATAAAATTAGGAGATTCATAAAAAAAGGAATATTTGTTTTCCATTTTTTACTCAAATCAATTAAATTTCATTCAAAAAACATATTATTATTATTTTTTTCAAACGTTTATCTCTCCTCTCAATTTTTTCTGTAATTTGTCATCAGTCACAACTAGTTTCAGTTGATTTTATCCAATAATTTTCATTTGTGTTGTAATGGACGACTTCTTATCAATATTAATAAACACATGGTGATAGATGGGATCTTTCAGATTGGTGTTCTTTGCAATTTTTTATTTGTATTATTATACAACTCAAGCTTAAAAAAAATAATTAAGAACAATGATACTGGAAAGAAGTTTTTGGATTTTGGTTGTGTATAATAGAATTTAATTGTGACGTTTTTGGTATGAACACTCTTTTTTTTTAGATTACATAATATTTGTTTGAAAATGCAAAAGATTTTGGTATGAATTTTTTCTAATTTATGGTTTCTGGTAAAAATAAATTACATAGAATTTATTTCTAATTGGTATACTGGTCATACCATTTTTTTTGTACAATTTTGGACTTATATTTGAATGAATTGTGTATATTGGTTACTTAAAAAATTATTCAGATTTTGTTTGTGTATAATAGTTTTAATTATGACTTATGAACATTACATAAAATTTGTTTGAAATTGGTATATATTTTGGTATGAACATTCATTTTTCTGTATGTTTCTGGTTAAAAAAATTACATAATTTTTTTTTGAAATTGGTATACTGGTTATATCATGTTGGTACGATTTTGGCATTATATTGGAATGAATTTCGTATACTATTTATCTAATAAATGACAATTAATTGTTAGAAGTATTATTAATTTTTTGATATGGTTCTGGTATAAAAATTGACGTAAATTTTGTATGAAACTGGTATAATAGTAAGATCAAATTTGTATGAAAATTTATAATTTTTATGGCACGAATGTGGTATAATTCAATTTCTATTTTTGGCATTATATTGGTTGGAATTGTGCATAATACTGGGATGAAATTGATATACTGTTTATTTAATAAAAGATAATTGCTAGTTATAAATTGTATGATTTCGTTTTTTTTTTGCATGAATCTGGTATGAATCAGTGTTTACTTTTGGCATGAAATAGGTATAAAAAGTATGCATAAAAATGGTATGAAATTTTTATATTGATATAACATATATATAAAAGTTATTTGTACTTTTGTATCCTGTAATACCGACACAATAATTTATGATGGAATAGAAAAATATTCAATTCAAAAAGTGTCGGAGCATAAATTATTGCCGCCTGTTTCAAAAAGAAATGTAGGAAGACCACAACTTGAACATTGGAAATGGCTTGCTGATGTGAAGCTCAAGAGGTCTAAGGTTACGTGTAGTACATGTCGTCAAGAGGGACACAACAGGATGACATGTTCAAATTACCCTGCTGGAAAAAAAAGACATAATTTTTTTTTTTGATTTGGTCGTTTTATTGTGACAAACTCATGTTTTTTATTTATTTTGTCTTTTAAGTTAATGAATTATAATTTCATACTCCCTCCGTCCCTTTTTAGTTGTCCACTTTAGAAATGACACACAGATTAAGGCAACAATGATTAGCACAGTGAAGTTACAATTTTATCCTTATGACAACTTTTCAACTTCAAAATACAACCACTTATTTGAATTCAAGTGAAATAAATTGGAGGGAAACAACATACACTTTTACAATTTTCAAGAAGTGTAAATAAGGGTATAATAGGAAAAAATTTGTTGTCCTTTCTTGATTTGTCAAAATGGACAACTAAATAGGGACAACTAAAAAAGGAAATATGGACAAGTAAATAGGGACGGAGGGAGTAACATTTATTATGTGTACTAGCCAACCTAAAACTAGTTAATGTTGTATCCAATTTGTATACATTTGGTATCGAACTGATATTCCATTGAAAAAATTGAAAAAACATGAAATTGAGATTTCAAACGAATTAGCTAACCTAAAACTAGTTAATGTTGTACTCAATTAACATACATTTGGTATCTAACTGATATTCAATTGGAAAAATTGAAAAAATACGTAATTGAGATTTCAACTAAATTAGTCAGCCTAAAACTAGTTAATTTTGTACCCAATTGACATACATTTAGTATCGAACTGATATCCCATTGGAAAATTTGAAAAACCAACATGTAATTGAGATTTCAACAGAATTAGTCAGTCTAAAACAAGTTAATGTTATATCCAATTGATATACATTTGGTATCTATCTGATATCCCATTGAAAAAATTGAAAAATCAACAAGTAATTGAGATTCAACCAAATTAGATAACCTAAAACAAGTTAATGTTGTATCCAATTGGTATCCATTTGATACCTAACATATACCTCACTTGAAAATAGAAAAAAAATGTAATTGATGTTAAACTGGTATCCAACTGGAAAATTTAAGCTCTACTTGTATCCAATTGGTATTTAATTAGTATCAAACTGGTGTCCAATTGGGTATCAAATTGATATCCAACTAGAAAAACTAAGTCTATTTGTATGAAATTGGTATCTAATTGGTATTCAGCTGAAAATACAACATATAATTAAGATTTTGACTGAATAAGTCAATCTAGACTAATTAACATTGTATCCAATTGGTATCCATTTCGAAAACCTAATTGTAACAATGTATACAATTGATATCTAAATAGAATTTTAAGATATTTAATTCTTATTACTTTGTATATGCAGTTTTTTTCAAACTAAAATCTCAATCTAAAACTGGCTACTGTATATATCCAATTTGTATCCAGGTTGAAAAATATGACTAATACTGCATGAAATTGGTATCCAGCTGGTGACCAACTTTTAGCCATCTGGGTTTAATTAAGCCTAACAATGTATATTTATATACTCAACATAAAACATACTCTTCATTTTCAAATATCATGAACGAAAATCAATAAAATTTGTTTAATATTGCATAGTAACAATAATGCATAGTATATATTATTGCCAAAAACTGAAGCAAAAAATAAACAACATCCTAAAATCATGAAAGTCTAAGTCAATCATCTATTTGACAACTGATCTCTTTGGTCTTGGTGTAGGATAATTGGTAGTATACAGATCATGTTCTTTTGCTATGCTCGGTCCATCAACTTTGCTAGCAACAATACCAGTTACTTCACTCTCACTAATTGTGTCATCAGCGTTCCCACTTCTTCCATACTACCATGGGATTGTGGCGTACCTTTGACGATATTTTACATCAACATCAATGTGACCCATATCAAAAACTTCACTGCTAATACATTCAGCAAATAAACATGTGTACATGCCACAATCACTGAAAAAATATTGAAAAAAATTATTTTGAAAAAGAAAGTGAATTAATTATTATGAAAAAATTACAATAATTTAGGAATACATACTTTGATATTGGATCTTGTTAATGTACATC